GGCTGCCCCAATTCAGCCCCGTTTTTGACTCAGAAAGGTTGCAGTGCTGGGGGCTGTTTCATAGCGAGCAGCAGACTGGGTCGTGAAGCAGCGCATGAGCAGGAGCTCCGGGAAACGACAGCAAGCCGGGATCTCGGAGACACGAAATGTCAGATGTAGCAGGAGCGAGCGGTCCTTCCTGGCCTTTCATCTCTCACCTGTGCCTGTGAACTAAGATCAGAAAGAGCAGCTGACGCCTGGACAGCACTCGGTGTTTAGGTTCGACTGTCGACACTTGTGTTTCTGTGACACGCACACACACACAGAGGCTGGCAGGAACGGAAGAGCTGCCAAGCCTGATGATAATGAAAGCCCATATTCCACATGTGCGCCTCCGCAATGGTACCAATTCTTCGAACCGGGACGGCTCAGACTGCAGATGTTTGCCAGGGTAGAGGAAATTATGACAAGAGGCATCCGTCCTGCATCAGCTTTGGGCTCTGTTCCTCAGAATCGTTTGCCACGTTTGTACCTGAAACAGCTGCAGGCACTGCGATGCACAAATTGACGCTCCACAGTGCTCGCAACAGCTTTGCGAAACCTGATGGTGCGCAGTGCCTGAGTGCCTGGAAGAGGACATCGCAGCCTCCTACAGACTCGGCATGTCGTCATCCCTTGCTTTGATGTTTAATGTGTGTTGCCTGTCCAAAGAAATGTGTAAGCCATCCAAGCTGGCTCCATTTCCAAGCGATATGTGAGTCTCTCTTGACCTTTCTTCACCCTAAAAACATCGAAACACGGGTCAAGGGGCTGAGCCCTTATTTTTACTGTGGGTGTTCCTTTTGCTCTCTAGTGTCCTGCTCCTGCTCCCCCCCTTGGCACTGCTATTCCGGTATGCTACGATTTCAGGCAGTGACTGCTTGTTCTTGTCATGCTCCTGGGGTTTCCTTCCCAACTGCTGCCTGGCTTTTCCGCAGTTGGCTCCAGATGCTTTTCCCTATTGTCACCCACCCCTCCGCCCCCTCCCCGGGTGTCTTCGCACTCGAAACTCAGAAGTTTCTGAACGGCGTTCATTTCCCATTGTTAGCGGGACAGGAAACCCACCGTCCGAATCCCAAGCAAGTGCACGAGCCCAGGGACAAAGCGCAAAACAAGCTGGATCTGATGTCTCACTTGCTGGAAAGCAGCGAACCCAGATGTCAGATGCATCGATTCTGCGAAAGGCGAAATCCGCCTTGCGCCGTTGCGTTCGTGTTCTGCTGTAAGGCCTCAAGCAGAAGGAGCAGCGGGACATCGACACCTCGAACACACAACTCAACGGCTTGCAGGAAGAAGTGGGTCTGCGCCTTGCGTTCGATCTCCAGCACTCTTCGCAGCATGCTTGATGAGGGTGCTACAGGAGCTGAAGCATGCTGTGGTGGGAAGTCCATGGCTGTCCGTGCAAGCCTGACTCTGGGTTTCCTGAGGCGACGCGCATGCTCTGCTGAACAAGCTCGACGCTCGTGTAGAGATGGTGCAGAAGTCGCTGTGACAGCATTGTGGGCGGGCTTTTCTATTCAGGGTTTGCAGAGTAACGCAAAAAAAGAAGATGGACGCTGTGGAAGCTGCAGCCCGCCCCTCGCCAACTCCAGGTACTTCACTGGGCTCAGTCGCGGGCTCCAGGACGTGTGAAGAGCGAACGAGATCTTTCCGTCTGTTTCGCTCCATCTCTGCACAGATTTGCAGTACAGCGGTTCAGAAACTCGGCTACATCGCATCACACTGCCTTACACTACATTACCTTGCATCAACTACACCGCCTTTATACATACATTGCATACATGCAGGCGTGCACACGCAGGCTAAGGGATTGATAAAAGACATGTAGGTGCAGACGACTCTTGACTGGCCGCAGACTTGGAACCTTGAAATGCCAGCAACAAGTCCATCGGTCTGCACCTGTGAAGAGGACACCCACTCAGTCCTCACTGGTGACAGCAGCGCCTTGCCTTCATAGCACCAGGCGAAGAGATCGCCTTTCGCGACCAGTGCTGTGCCGAGGTGCCCTACCGCAGAAGAACGTGAAGCAGCTTCCCACGCTGCCCGCCAACACACCGCGGAACGCTCTGCCACTTGGGATCACCAGGCCTGGGGCAGGAAGAGTTGGGGGAATCTGCTGAGACAAGGATGTCACCCTCACCGCGGAAGCCCAGCCGAAACACGTCTCGAGACTGCACTTCGCTGCGGAAGTGTCATGCGGAGAGATGTGCATGTATGTGGTAACATCCCGCCCATGTTTCCATTCAGAAGCTAATATGAAGACGAGATGATGGTGTGCAACATAATATGCCAGACGCCAGGAAGGCCCTTGATGAAAGTGAGACGAGACCATATGTAAGGTGGGTAAGGGAGCAGCTCCATTGCACATGAAAACAAAACTAGTATTGAGGGTGAACGAAGGGCTCCCCCCCCAGTTGCCAGCATTTGGGTCCAGCGCCGTGCAAAAAGGCCCAGCTCGCCCGCATGTCAGACGCAAACACTGCGAACAAGACACGACAACCCTTGGAAGTGCACATCGCCAGATCATACAACTACTCTTGTTTCAACGAGCGAAAGCAGGCGAAATGGTAAAGTACATATTGTATATAGTAGATACCGATACAGACGCACGCACACACACACACACCGTCTTTTAATGTAACATAGGTACACATATGCTCACATACATATACGAATGTACGTATACATGTACCTGTATTCCAAAGTAGAAGTTATATATTAATGCTTTTAGTGCGCGTGAGTATGTACGGAGTTTATTCGGTGATGCCGACACCAAGGCTCTTCGGCCGTGGGACGCTTTCTGGGCTGCCAGGTGAGCAGACCCAGTGAGCAGGCGAAGGGCGCACGTGGCGCACGGTGCAGGGCTGTTGGGGTTTTAGAGTCTGTCACTGAGGTGTTGGCTCAGAACCTGTGTGTTCAGGGCTTCAGCGCTGAAGGATTCGGGCTGAGGGCTCCTGGGTTGAAGCTTCGAAAGACGTTTGCATCGTCCCTGCCGTGCGGTGGCCTGCGCTGAAAGATCCAGACAGTTTTCCCGGCTTCTGTAGGAAGCAACCTGCTTTTCAACTGATGGTATGACGACGAAGTCATGCCGGCATTTGTGCTAGGATCGTTGCTTTGTCGCTGGGCAGCCGGCCTGTCCAATCCCTCTAGACTTTTAGATTGTGCCAAACCAGTGCCACAGCTGCCCAGAAGGTGGTCGAAGCGGGGCCTGTGGCCGAGGTCCCAGGGTAGGTCGATGGCTTCTCGAAAGCCACGCCTGGACTCTGCTCTTTTAATGATCGGATGTGCCTCTGCAAAGGAACTCAGAGGAATTCCCATCAGCAAGAGAGCTTTAGCACGAGATGCTTCCCTGCGAGTCCTTGCGAGGGCGGTCACTGACCGGCAAAGACGCGGGACAAGCCCCGTCGGCCAGTAGATTTTGGCGTGGCTCGGCCGCTGGCCAGACCTTGCAGTTTGCGTGGCATCTCTGGCCAGTCTCCGAATGCACAGAGCCGGATGCAAATGTGCCTTTCGCCAACTGCCGGAGTGGCACCCTTTACTCCGTACACTCCGACCGTCTCCGACCTCGCAGCACCAAGCCATCCCCGATTGCACTGTCTTTGTGCCTGCTTAGCGAGCGCTTTAGTTTAAAGAGTTCCGAGCTTCAATTCAAAGAGCTCTGTATTTGCCATGAGATGTGCGCTAGGCTGTAAGGCTGCTCTTTCCTTGACGGAAGGCAACGTTGGCTTCTCGCCTCTGTTCTCTGTTTTGCGTTGGCCCGACACCTCTCGAATGAGAGAGTGACGCGACAATGGTCGCCGAAGATACTTAGAAATGATGCTTCAGGGTTTTGTTGGTCCAAGATAAAAAAGCACACTGATCCGCTGAGGGCTGCGACGGCCTTATATCCGGTCCTGCGGGCGCACCCGAAATTGAGTCCAGCACACTCCCCCCCGGCTGCCACACAGTTGAAATTGTGGCTGACAGTGATGTGGAGTTGGATTTCCGGTTTTAGTCCATATAGACAAAAAAACTCAACGAAGAACCCTGGAGCATCTGAGCGTGTTGCGACTGTTGGCCATGTCGGTCGTCATCCTAGAGTTGAGGTCAGCTTTGCACGAGGTTGAGAAGAAGAGTAGTTACCTTGCTGGTGCTGTCTCGTGCGGCTGTGTCCTCTTGAGAGGCACATGCAAGGCACCTTGAAGTAGGGATCAGATCAGCTTCTGTTCCATCGTTCCGAATGATCTCGACCGACTAGAGCTTGCACCCGATATTGCTACACAATAAGGTCGAGCGAGAGCTCCTGGGCACTTAAGAGTGCGGCAAGCGACAAGCGAAGCATCTGAATCTTTACCGTTGGGGTATGAAAATACGATAGGCTGGGACGTAAACTTAAGCTTCTCACTACTGCTTGTCGTATGCCCGCAATCCAGGATAGTGTTCTGAATTGCAGAAAATCTGCAGCCAGAAAGTGACCCTGCAGAGTGTGTTGGCGCCGGACCATGACCTACATCTATACATGCCCCTCACGTCTTGGCGCAGTCTTGCTTGAGCCAAGATTTGCTTCGAAGATCTCAACCCACATCTGAAGACATCTCCAGCGCAAGGACCTCAGGACAAGCATGACAGTGCATGACAGTGCCCGAACCTCAACAATTTTTTGCAACATCTGCATGTTACAACCCATGCACATGCCAACAGATGTATTTGTACTAAAGCTCTACATAGATTAGGGGGGAGCATTCCCGAGGGTCTGGTGTGGCCGCCTGGGTGCAAGGCCAAACGCCGCGGCACCTGCGTCGAACCGTGACAAAAAGATCGAGCATCAGATGCGCAAGGTGTGAAGCATCCTCAATCCCCCCTGTTAATCTTCTGCAACTGATGAATCCCCCAACTGCCAGCAACTCTTTTCATCATCTTGTTTGATGCAAGTTTGCGGAAGCCCCACATGACATTCCAAAATAGCTCGTGGGAGTTCTTCGGCCGTAGACCATAGTGCTGAGGCGTTGCTTAGACGTGTGCTTCCAGAAGTTTTGCGACACTGCCGACCTCGTGGCAGCGGAGCTCGGGGCGAAATGGAGGGTTTCGGTTTCAGCGTGATCACAGAGCCTCCTGAGACTGTATTGGCATTTCCTCGACGTCGAACTCTAAAACCCTTACCGGTCTCTGAGAGGAGAAGCAAGCTTGGGAAGTCTGGCTCTGAGACTCTGAGACGGCAGCGTCCAAAGCACAGCGGAGCATCACATGAGCTCTGACTTTTCTCCCCTGGGAAAAAGCTCCAACGTTTCCGCAGCAATCCGCCTTTGCCTTTGCCGTTGCAGGGTCAACAGCTCCGCTTGGCGCAGCGCCAGGCCCAGCACCAGCTGAGGAAACATGACGCCGAGTCTGCGGATGCCTGCGTGCCTTAGGGCTTTTCTGGGTTAAAAAGAAGAAGCCCGCAGAATTATGCCATAGCAGCTACTTGTCAGTAGTCTTGTCATCCTTGTCGCGATGGCTCCTACACAGGAGGTAGCAGGTTTCCCCCTTTTTTTCCTTGGCCGATCGTGCCCCTGTCGCTGTGGTATAGCCTCCCCCCTTGTGCACACTCGGATCATTGCATCGACACCCGTCGCCTCCTCCTCCTCGTCCTCCCGTGTGGTTTGGGTGGTGAGCTCTGATCCGGTGCGAGCCGTGTCTGCAACCTGCCGATGCGAAGCTGCCCTCCAGGGAAAAGCGTCACCAAGAGGTCGAGTGCCAGCGACTGGCAGTTTTACGTCGCCGTGGCGATCAAATCACATACTCCGAAAACGAGGACTGTCAAGAAGATCGTGGCCCCAACTGGCTCGATCCCAGTGACTGATGTCGCAGAGCCCGGGTGAGGGGGCCGAAGAAGGGGGGATACCATGGGGGTGGAAAGTAACGGAAGGGGGTGGTATGTGTATATACTGTATATATATGTATATACAGAGAAAGAGAGAGAGAGAGAGATCTACCTATTCATCTATCTGCCTAATCTATCTATCTGTCTGTCTATCTATTTGTCAGTCAGTCTCTCTCTGTCTCGCTCTCTAGCTAGCTATCTAACACAGTCGAGGCCTGTCCGCAAACACGAAGCCTCAAGTGCCGGGCGTGTGCGGACACTCAAGTAAGAACAAGCGTAATTAGGCCCCTCGATGTATGTGCAGCTACTGTCGCTATCCACAGAACAGCCAGCGACCTTCCCAAAAGTGCTGTTTCCAAGAACCTTGACTAGGAATGTGTTTCCAATGGCAGGCCATGGCCACTACCGCCGTGGGCGGCTTGGGCAACTCCTTGGGTCAGGGCTTGTTTCGGCGGCTAACGGCTGTAACAACTTGCTTCATGCATCCGACAGGAAACCCCAACCCCTATAGCCCTATACGCGCTTTTCGCAGATTTTCTCTACCTTGTGCCATCTTGTGCTTGCAGGGTTCGTTTGAGGTTCTTGGCACGCTGGCGACCAGCCTTACCATCGGGCTAGGCAGAGCGAGCATTCAAGCAGTGCGCCAACACGGGCTAGGCGTTCAAGATGTTCAACATCTGATTTTGTCGGATACTTTGGCTCCCGCGGGTCAGCTGATCAGACACTCTATGCAGACGCCTTCCTTCGCCACATAATCCAAAGTCTTTCACCCAGCTCTTGTGACTAACACTGATATCAGCGTTGAAGTCTGGTGCCAGCACGCAGGTTGCTACTTATTTCGTGGCGGAGACGATTGAGCTCTATGGCGGATAGAGGGCAGATGCGACACGAGTGCTCTTCACACCGGGTTCTGCCCAGGAATTGCCGATGCGATGGCATAGTCCGTGCAAGTACAGCTCAGTTGTTATGAGATGCTGAAAAAAGTGACGTGCTGATTCTGGCATCTTTCCTGTGCTGCTTGAACTGCATCTCTGGCAAAAGCAACCCGGATCTCGTGACAGGTTAACTACGGAGGACGTGTCACGGATGACAAGGATTCCTATTGAATGTCCGTTTGTGCCTCAGAGCATCCAAGATTGCGCCTTGCGGGCCTCAAGACGAAGGAAGCAAAAGCGAAAGAGAAAGCTCGGGCAAAGCTCCCAAAAACAAAACTAGCAACTCAGAGAGGACGTTCGCCTCATCAGCGCCTTCCTGAAGCGCTACTTCAACGAGGGGGCACCCTTACATGGAGGGCTTCTGGAAGCAGATCATGCTGCTGCTGGTGTTTCGGTTCTGATTTTTGCCCATACAGGTCGCGGGACCCTGAACCCTCTGGCTTCTGCGAATTCCGTTCGCAGAGGTACTTCAGGATGGCTACAAGCTCAGTCCGCTCGATGCCTACACTTGCTCCTTGGCTGCCTCGGAAACGGCGATTGTCCGATGCTCCGACCAGTGTGGCCCTGCAGCCGAGCGGCCCCAAGTTCCAGTTCTGAGAGCCGGATGCCACCGAGGCCCTAACGAGGGATCTTTGGACGAGGCTGCCTGCCGGTGTCTTCGCACTCCGAGTCACGTTTGGGGATGTGAAGGAAGCGAAAGGGAGGGCCTTTTGGCCCAGCGCCTTCTGCAGGTTCGAGAGCACGTCCGCAGCCTTCCTTTCGACGAGGATCCGCAGGCTTGCCCACGTTTAGCTGCACCTTGCTGCATCTAGATGACCTCGACGGGACGGTTTGCAATGGTATCTACCCGCCTTTGCCTCTTCCGGGTAGCCTAGATGCTGCCACAACAGCTTGACCATGTCATATGAGAGCCCATGACAGGTCTTTGGACTCCATCCAAATGCACAGATTACGGCGCAGACAGAGGAGCGGCAATCCTGAAATTATCAAGGAATGCGACCCAGCCCCTGCCCAAGTCAGCAGTTGCACGCTTGTGAGATCGCCCCAATCTCTCGAGAACACAAGTTTGTTCCGGAGAGCCCAGAGACGGCCGACCGCAGAGCCATGCAAAGCAGAGAGAGAAACCCATCTCCATATCCGAAGCCTCGGAGGAAGCGCGGAAGTTCCTTGGCATCATCCTCTCCGTTCAGCCCCGCATCGCGGCTGCGGGTGGTGGAAAGCGCCCCGAGGCCTCGTGGCCGAAAGTTGCAGATGAGAAGCTACTTACGCTACTTGAGACACCAGCCTGCTTCTGGAAAGGCTCAGAGATTTCCTACACACATAAAATATACTGCAAGGCCCTGATCCTCAAGCTCTTTCAACACAGCTGAATGCGGACATGCAGAAACGTATGGCCCAATGCTAGTCCCATCTGCATACATGCATACATGCATACATACATACATACATACATACATACATACATACATACATACATATGAGCACTCATTCATTCCTTCGTTCGGTCACGTATATATAATAAACGTATACACAAGACTCGTTCCCCTCGGGTACCTATGCCAGCGGCGCAGTCTACTGCCTTTGTGTACATCTCGTTTCTTCGTTTTGATACAAATACCTGGAGTCTTGTATGATTGTGTACAAGAAGTTGCTGCAAAGAGCCAATCACAATGACACCGAGCAGCGTATACTAACTTCTCTCGCAGAGTCTAGCATCATTTTTGTTCTAGATAGATGGATGGATGGATGGATAGATGGATAGATTATAGCTGTCTGGATCGCTTCCACCGTCATGTCAAACGGACCCCAAAATAGTCAAACCGGTACGAAGAAAGCGAAGTTCAACATTGGCGCTGTGTCCTTTTGATACTGTTGCAGTTCTCAGCCCTTCTTTTACATGGCGTTCGCCCAACCCAACCCGGATGTCCACGTTCCCATGGCGCCTGCAGCCTGCCCCTAATTTCCTGGAGTCCTGCGTTCGTGCCACTGTCGCCTGCAGACCCTGCTCGGTGTTCAGGAAGCTTTGGGAATGGAACTGAACTCACGCTAGCCCAGTCTCGCCTATGTAGCTCTGTGGCGTTTCGGATGCCAGCCCAAGAGAGACAGAGCTCTGATTGTGGGCATGGCTTGTAGGCTCGCATCTCGGGACATTTTCGGATGCAAAGCGCTTCTGACTTCTGACTTTGTTGTTCTTGTCAGCGGAGCCTTTCACCAGATCATGCCAGCGGGTACCGGAGTGGAGCGGAATCAATTATGCAACTCAAAGGTATCATCCATGTGGGTGGGTGGGTGGGTCCGCCCCCACAGAGGCTGCAACTGGTGTAAATGACTTTGTTTCAGCTGGTCTTTCGCCAGCCACTATACGGTGTGCCCAGCACTTTGAATGCCGAAATGATGTGTACTCGTATGGTGTATGTAAGTTTTCCCAGCGCGACTTCGGTGCCACGCCTTCTGCAAACTTTACGTGGTGGGTCTTTCGTGCTTCAGGGGCAGCGACTGTGTTTGGGGATCCCAGGATTCCTGCACTTTAGTTTTTCGCCACGGTCAGCAGTTCGGACTCAGCATCTGCCAGCAGCAAGGCCAGCCGGTCTTTACTTTCGGCGCTATGGTCACATCTTTGGGGATCCGACTTTCGTGGTGCAAATGGAACGAACTTTCGCAAAGCACCAGGATATGGAATAGGGGCTACGTCGACTGTTGCGTCGCCATGAGTGGCACTTTGGTGCTGACGCATCAGGAAGATGCCGCGACTTTACAGTCGATGGTGACTTTGGCTCATCCTGGGCAGCCCTACTTTGGCATCGGGGCTCTTATTACTTTGTTCAGAATCCCGATGGTGGGTTTTATCGACTTTTAGATTTGCATCTGCCGATTCCAGCCCACGCCGGGGAGACTGTTTTGCAAGCTGCTGTTTGGGACTTTATCCCGAGGGGGGGCTGTGAGGCAGTGCCACGTTTCGGGATCTGCATATCCATGGTCACTTTTATGATCTTTTATGCAATGCTTTTTCTGTACCACTTTTCGCGACCACTTTTCGGATTTTGGTTGGGTCCTTGGGTACTTTGCTTTGCTTTGCATGCTGGTCGCTGCACTTTGATGGACCGACCACCCACACTGTACTTTGATGTACCGTGGTATACGACAACGCAAATTTTGGCATGGCGACGCATTTTTCTTCTCCCCGGGGCAACTTTTGAATGCTGCAAATGTTGCAGACCTTTGCACAGTGCAACCACGAACCCGTGAGGCCATCTTTAATCTTGAGCTGCCACTTTCTGTCATAGTATACTTTTTGTGCGAATGCACAAGTGTGTAATTACGCTTTGTGATGCAACAGACTGAGAATCACTTTCTCCTTGGCCACTTCTGTGGCTCAAGATCATGAGCACTTTGTGTTGTACTTGGAAGGAGGCGCGTCGTGATTTTCAGGGCTACGTTGATCTGAAGCTGAACGAGCAGTGCACACCCTACTTTAGGGTGTTTGTGTGCTATGCTAGCACAGCGTACTTTCGCAGTTGTCGAATCTTCAGGTAACCAGAAATCTCTGTTGGGACACGGCAATTTGAGGTACATCTAGCTCTACATGCATGTTGTTCAGAAAGTTGTTTCCCGCTATTGATGTGTCAAGCGCCCCCAGTGGGTGTTGCCATCAAAGTACGTATGTTTGCAAACCAAGCAAAACAAGCCAAGCCATTTCAAATGAGACTTGAGACGTCGTCAACCCGTTCGAACAGAAACCACGGTCGGAGAGGCTGGGCAACTCATGCAGCAGTGGTAGGGGGAACATGTCGAGTACTATACCTGTGTTACTTGTGTTGGCATGTATGTATGTATGTATGTATGTACGTATGTACGTACGTATGTATGTATGTACGTATGTATGTATGTATGTATGTATGTACATGTGTATGTATATATATATATGCAGTGCAGTGTTTCCAAGGCCTTCACTTGTGCGTGATGATATGGTCTGCGATGAAGCAAATTGACTGGCACATGTGAGAGCAAGTGGGTAAGCTTGTTTTCGATTTCCCTTACTCTGGAATAGCGTGGAAGAGTAAATACAAGCATCTGTTCTTCGACCCGCCATGGGAGAGATGCGGTATGCCCATGTCGATGCATGCAAGCGTTTCTGTGATTTGCAGAGCTCCCGAGGGACTTGCACGCGCATGTCGAACATGCCAGGTTTGCAACGCTCAAAGGTTCCAACATCCTAGTATTTTCCAAAATTTGTGTGAGTCATTACCTTCCACCAAGTAGTGTCCTTTGACAGTCCGGGATGGTCATAGTATGTTGGGATCTTGCTATCGTTGCACCCTCTTCTGCCCATGCACTTACCGGAGACGAAGCAAGCTAAGTAAAGAGGAACCGGCAGCGAATGAGAGAGCTTCAAGAGCTTTGGAGTTTTGCCGCCGAACCCAGCTTTTGGGAGGAGCTCGTGGCGGAGATGGCCGAGGCGAAGGGGGGGGGGGCGGGGGCGCTCGTCTCTCTGGCTGTGGGCGGATCTGGGGCCCTACCCCACTCTCAAAAGGCTAAGTCGGCTAGGGCCTAGGAGCGCCCGGGGGTCTTCAGGGTCCCGGCAGGTGCCCCTCATGTACGCACATGTTCGGGGTTGTAAAAAAAGAACGGCGGAGGGGTACTTTGCAACGCTACGCTGGTTCTTCCTCGAAGGCTCGGGTTTGAATGTCCTCTCCATTGAAACTGTTTTCTACAGCCGGCCAGTGGATGTTTCATGTCTCGATGATCTCTCGACCGGCCGTTCGAGTCCGAGGCCTTACCACACATGCTCAATCCCGGATGCTTTCGATTCTGGCAAGGCATTTCTTGGGCGAGTGCCATCAACCATGCTCCGGAAGCACGCGCACCCGGAAACGTGCACTTCTCGGAGCGTTTTCACACTGGAAGACAGGACGGCGCGGTTTCAGGGATCGTTTCTTTGGTCGGAACGTGGTACGTTCTGAACAGGCACATGAAGCGGCACCACCCAAATTGATCGGAAATGAGCCGAAGGCGACGTGGGTGCAGGTAACTGGGCGCCTGTTGGAGCTGAGGTACAAAAAGACAGCTGATGGTGGCATCGTGTCTTTGGGCGTCTTTCACGGGCAGGACCCATGCGTGTTACCGGGAAAACCTGCTTGGCGATGGCCCAAAGGCTACTCTGAGCGCAGTCCAGAAAAGAAGCCCCCTTGAGTCCAGCTCTTGAGCATTCTGTCCCCGCACTACGACACGAGTTAATTGCGGCAGGAGATGGACCGCTTCAATGTGCTGATCAATCGTGCTGCGGCCTCGGATTTGCGGCTTCGGCTTTGTTGCAACAATTAAAATGGTTGTTGGGGACAGAGGAGGAAGAGAGGACCTCCTTGCAAGCGTCATGCATACTCAGCTCTCAGCATAGTACACCTTGGACCGAGAACGTCTCAGGTGCAGAGCACTCTGGTGACTTTGGGCAAGGCCATCAAAGGCTTCGTGGTCATGTCTGCGCAGTTGGAGGACCTACTGGGTACCCCAGACATTGAATTTGGGTACGATTTCAGTCAAAATTGAGGAAGGCAGTAGCAATAGTCGTCGTAGTAGTCGTAGTAGTCGTAGTAGTAGTAGTAGTAGTAGTAGTAGCAGCAGGAGTAGTAGTAGTAGTAGTAGTAGAATAGTAGCAACAGTGTCCATGTCTAATTGCACTCGATCACCAGGGCATCTATGCCCAAACCCTAGGAGTGTCCCTGCCTAACTGCATGGGATCATCAGCGCATGCAGCCCAGACCCCCTGACGTCCCAGCCTATTCGCATGCGACCACCAGAGCATCCATGCCCAAGCCCACATAACGCCCATACATCTTGCTATCAGTACTTCCGAGGCCACAAGCATCGAAAACTGTTTTGTGTTGTTTCAGACCCCGCGTCAATAGTGCAATACTCTCGGCACTTCCTGTAGGTGAACGCACGAGTTTTTACCAATTTCAGTCGTCACAGGAGTTTAAAACGCAATAGCGTGCCCTGATTTGCTAAATCCGTTCAGCTCGAAACCCACAATAATGCACGGCCCCATATGCTCGCGTGTCCTCGTACTCGTCGTCGTCGTCGTTGAAGTGGAAGAGGAGTGGAAGTGGTAGCACTCGTCGTGGTTGTAGTCGTCGTCGCAGTAGTACTGGCACTGGTACTGTCGTCGTCGTCGTGGTGGTCGCGGTGGTGATAATCGTAGTACTAGTATTACGTAGCTCGATGACTGCTAAACATGATGCCTTGTCCATTGAGGAACTTCTTGCGCCAATCCAATACATGATGCACTTCGTGAAACTGCCGTTGGAGTGAACTTTGGAGCAGCAGGGACATCCCGCAGCAGCAAACTCGCTCCAGCTTTGTCGATCAACACTTCGCTGATTTCGCACGACACCGCCTTAGGCATGCCCCAGTCCTGACTGTGGTCCATCCCCCTTCGCAGCTATTGTCCTGTTCCAAAGCTCCCGGTGAGCTTATGCGCAGATGTTTCTAAGTGTTCAAGCTGGAAGATGCACAAGTTACAAACTAGTGCAAGCGAGCTGACGATATCATTCACGGCGTTGAGCAGATCTTAGCAAAGCTCTGAGATGTTTTGGTTCTTGCCACAAGCTCGAACCGAATCTGGATGACAGACCGATGTCCGTGCAAACAGTGGTAGTGGTGGTGGTGGTGGTGGTGGTAGTAGTAGTAGTAGTGGTCGAGTGGTGGTGGTAGTAGTAGTAGTAGTAGTACTAGTACTAGTAGTAGCAGCAGTAGTAGCAGTAGTCGTCGTCGTCGTCGTAGTAGTAGTAGTAGTAGTTGTTGTTGTTGTTGTTTGTGGCTGTAGCAGTAGCAGGAGCAACAACAGCGGGGCAGTAGTCCTTGCAAAAGTAGATGGGGAGCAGCAGAAGTTCTAGAGCCACTCCGAGTAGAGCCTCTGCAGTAACTATACCCCGCTGAAGGGATATCCTGGGCTTCATTTAGGGCCACACTCGAGGGCACTAACGGCAGCAGGAGCGTAGCGAGGCATTGAACCCGGATTTTAAATGCCGACTATATTATAGCATTGGACGCAGGTGACCTAGGGTTCCATGATTTTTGCTGGCATGGGTCGCAAATTTTGTCCTGGCGGACATTTTGTGTCGGTGAACACAATAGCAGCTGTAGCACCCGGTAGCTTGTTTCCTGGCTGCTGGGGCCTCTTGGAGAACCATGATGGTTGCACTGGGGCATGGAACGGAAATAGCAGCAGCAGCAGCAGCCGTAGCAGTTGTTAACTTTGTCGTTTCTTGGCTTAGAAGGAGAAGCAGGGTCAATATTGGTTAGCAGCAGCAGCAGCACTCGATGCCTCGTAGCAAAGCGCTCACAGCGGCGGCAAACACACTGTCGGCAGTTTCCACTATGCGCATTCTGCAATCTATTGGCCAGGACATGTACAACTGCTTCTTGTCCCAGCAGCTGCCACCACTTTGGGGAGAGGCTATATGCGGGTCTGTGTCTGCGTGGTTGTCAGAGTGTGTCATTTTGAAGTAGTGCGTGCTTTAAGTTTTGCTTCTGTGCTTGTGGCATAGGACATGAATGTGCTTGGCTGCCGTACTTCGGGTGATAAGTTCCGAGCTTGAGATGTGATGCTTCGGATGATACGGCTGCGAGGCACGAGCAAGAAGCTCGCAGAGAATACTTTCGACCGGTGCATGAAAGTGTCCACATACCCTGGTGCGGCTGGGCAAGCGCAGCAGCGGCAATATCTCGGCACTTGCAAGCAGACCCACTATTCCGTTGTAAAGCGAAGTGCCTATGAATTGCTCGCAGTGTCTTTGACACTTCCTGTGCTGGAGCAGGTCTCGTACCCCTGCTTGAAGCCTTTGAATTCCTGGTTCTCTGACTTCGAGGACAGCGTGCGGGGTTCACTTGACTGTTCGTCTGGATCCTCCCGTTTTCAGGATCACAGCCTAGGCCTACCGAAACGACACTCTGAACCTTGCACATGCCTCTGCGGACTTAGTCACACGCTTGACAGATTAAGTCTCTTCGGTAGCGTCTGGAAGCTTGTCAGATACACATCCTGAAGCGCCTTATGTCAGCACGAAAGCTTGCACGCCCCCAACCGGGCAATGCCGATTGTCAGTACAGTGGGAAGAGAAGTCAGACCCAATAGTTCTCCGCTGCAGCATGTAACGCACTCTAGTGTTCGAGGCTCAATGTGCGCATCCTAACGACTTACATCCCCAGCATGCAAAGCCAAATTAATCTTGATACGTTAAACTTTGCTGCTGTCCAATGTTTTTTTGTTGCAAAAGGCGTATTTCTGTGCAATATTTGTGCGATGGGCAGTCACAAGAAAAGACTGCAGCAAGAAGGTGCCGTTTCTGTAAGGCCCGCCAACATGCAGACATGATTCTCAGCATGCAAGTGACAGAGTGCACTCTACGAAAGTCGGCGTGCCTGGTGGGTCGTGAGCTCTCCAGGAACGGATTGACTTTATGGCACGATGGCTGAAGATGGGACCTCCCTCGAGCTACTGGGTCCTGGCCTTGTGCACAGGAGTCCCAGCTGCAGTCTTTGCCGAGAGCAGTGCCATAGCCATCTTCCTGGAGGTTCCGTGCTTCTACTTCCCGCAGGGCTTCATGACCTGCTCCAAGCAGGCAGTGGTGCGAACGCGCATTGTGAAGCTTGTGAGACTGCCCTTGTCTGCCCGACAGCTGTGGCCTTGGCGTGCCAAGAAGAACATGGCTGTGCCTTTGGCAGGTCCACGCGCGAAAGACTAAGATTCCGATCGATGCATCGACCTCAGGGACGTGTGTTGTGGCGACGACTGTTACATCTATGCTTTTGGCCCCTCCGAGAGCTTGAGGCCTTGGTCTTCTGGCAGGAGATGACGAACTGCACGGAGCCCCGCCTGGCCGATCCACCGGCCCGGAGCCCAAGTGGAGCCCAAGCAGGGGCAGCACCCATTGCCATGGTCGAAGGTCATAAGATGTTGGTCCGGGTAATTATATCCCATCCTGAGAAGAGGGACAGCCCTCTCGACGCTGGTTGGGCCACCGTCTAGCTTTGCAACTTGCGCTACGATTTGGCAGGCCACTCAACCTCTACGATGAATTGCAGTTGCTCCGACAGCTTCTTGATCCGCTGTGGCGCGGCCGCCCGCGATGACGACGAGATTTGTAAAGTCAAGATGCGCCAAGTCACTAGTTGGTGTGTGTCTGTTTCCGGCTGTCTCGAAAGGTGCTTGCAACCGAGGGTATCGGGTGCGCATGCCGCCGTCGCACACACAACCCCTGAAAGCCTCGAGACTGTGGGCCTGGGCTTTGCAGCGCGTCACTGATTGCATGTTTCGGCAGTTACTAAGTGGGGCTGAGTCTCAGACGAGGCAGACGGGGTGAACGTGCATGGACTCTTCCTGCAGGCGGAAGCTCCGGACTCCTGAGCCGTTTCGGAAGCTGTTGGGATGTTTCTCCGAAGTTGCAAAGGGCAAAGGTTTGGGAGTTCCTGTCAGCTCTTTAGGCGAAGGAGACTTTTGCATGCTTCTGACTGGGCCAAGCGAAAAATCCTTGCCAGGGAGCCGGCTGGGACGTTCCATCAAAGAAGATGGTGGAGTCTGAGAAGGTGCAGCATCTAAGTTCAGCGTCCCTGATGTGGCGCGGAAAGAGACAGAGAGGGCTCGTTGAGAGAAGAGCTCGCAAGGGTTGTTCAGCTTGCGTTCGAAGATTCGTCGATAGCGGCAAGACAGTCCTGCCAGCTTAACTTTCAGTCTCGGGATTGAGATAGCTCGCAGTTCAGAAACATGTCGGCCCCTTGGTCATCTTGAGGGACACGTTCAGGCGCTTTTGCGCACATGCTTCAAGAAACCGATAATGGAGGATTTCTTTGCGGTAGACTTGAGGCAGCCTCGCGCACATGGGGATGATTCGGGATGACGTTTCAGAGGTGATGCTGCTCGCTGCAGCCTTTGTGGTGTTGCCCTGGAGTTTGTCGCTGTTGCTCGTCTCAGGAAGTGTGCGGATTGGACGCTTGACTGAGAAGATCCGTCAGAGCTGCTTTGAAGCCTGAGAACTCTGGAGTCACCGCGCACACACCAGCGACCGCCGCCGTCGCGGGTGGCCTCGGCCCCGCCGAGGCCCTGCCGAGCTCTGAGAGAGGGCGGGAAAAACTCCCATGTGGAAAAGCACACTGGCGGAGCGCAGCACGGCGCGCAAGCACGCTCCGCGCTCGGCGGTGCGCTCCGCGCGCCGCGCTCCTCTCCTCGCTCGCTTGCAAGAGGCACTCCAAAAACGTCTATAGTGACAGCGCCAGCCAGGAAAGGAGATTCAGAAACAGGCAAGAGGCAGTCCCCAGGCAGGCCCCAGGCCCCCAGGCGTAGCAGGGCCTCGGCCTCCCGTAGGCGGTGCTCTTCAAGGAGCTCCCGGTGATCTGGGTGCAAGTGGTGGAGGAGGCCGCTTTTTTCACGTGTAGTGACTGTTGTTGCAGCGCAGCTGGGCGAGACTTCAAGAGACAAAAAAAGCTCCATGCTCCCCCCCTTGAATTCCGTGAATTGCGTCTGCTGCTGCCGGGACAGAGCATGGTTGAACTTGACCGCGTCCCTGCAGGCAACCTTCCAGAAGGTTTCCACAGAACCTGGCAGGCAGGTTCCCGGAGCATGTAAAAGCACACGTTGACATTGAAAGTTCTCTTTCGTGCAGCACGCATGTTCCTTGAGACCTCATTGCCGCATGTGGCACAAGCATTCTCCTCCAACTGTGTCACAGTGGCCCACGTTCCACCAGCATGTGTGTTCGTACTGTAGCCGGAAGCAGGGGTGCGCAGTGCCGCCCATCTTTGCACGGCCATGTCGAAGCTGAAACTCCTAAAGATGCTCTCAGCTCAGCCAGGTACACCTGTCCCCTCTACAAGACCTCACTGCGCAAGGGAACTCTCGCGACTACAGGTCGGCCGCTCAAAAACCGTAAGCCCAAAGCACTCAGCAACTTTCTGGGTTCTTGATGTCTATCACCTTGACTACTCTGCTTCTGGAGATCAGAAAGAAAGCATGGAGGAGCACAAGCTGTTCAGCTGCTGTATTTCTAGGTGCTTGTCGAGTAGGACCGCAAATCCTTCAAACAGTATCACTACTGCAACACTGGAACAGTTTTGCATTGTTGGGATCGGAATGTTGGCCACGTTACTGCTTGTGCTCGTCGTGAGCATGAGTTTACTAAGTGATTGTTATCTAGTGCTGTGTCGTGCTATTTAGGCGCAGCTAAGAGTCGCGAAGGTTCTCGGGTGTGTAGCATGCGGAACTCATGCATGTCGTACAAAGGAGTAGTCATTGGACAGGAAGAACTTCTTCGCAGTAGTGTGACAAGATGTAGCTGGTTCTCATGACTATACATTTTACTCTATGTTAATTCCTGTACTCGTCTTGGCATGAGCATGTGAGGCTGTATGCGAAGAGATGTTGTGTCTGGTCCTATCTCTCCTGCGGTAGGTTAGCGAAGACCTGACACTCGTGGCAGTCCAGCGTCTCATGAACTTGTGGGGATTATTTTCAGGAGCCCACACTCATTTGCGGTCATGTTGCTCGTCAGGTCGAATCTAGAGGCCCTCCGGCCTAGGTCTACTGGAGGAGCTGTTCCGCTCTACACCTTCCGCCGAAGCGGAAGTAGCGACGAAAGCGACGGACCCCCACCCTGGAGAAGAGAGAAGAGGAAGACGGGAGGGCCCCCACCCCGGGCCCCCCAGCTGACACTTCTTTTTGATCTTGACTTGCAAGCGGCATCCATGTCTTTCGATCCCTTGCTTGACAGTCCCGGATGGTTCAAGAGTGCCCTGTACAGCCCAGCAAACTCAGCTACCGTTCATCTTGACATGGGGCGCAGCGGGTCTGCAGAAAAAGAAGAACGTTGGGGGTGATCGGCTTGGCGGGTCCTTTGTCCCAAAGACCTTTCGCACTCAGCAGGGCTAGTGCTCTCTCGACCGTGAAGAAGCGAGAGGATGGTAGAGACACAGGGAAAAGAGGCGAGACTTTAGACATGACACGGAGGGCGAAGTTCGCGAGCCTGACAGGTCACTCCACCAACTTCGTTTGCTACTTCCGGCTGCCAAGTAACGAGGAGGAGCTTTGGAGCCAGCAAGCGTCCGCTCAGGTCGAAGTTTCTGGTTCGTTTTCCACCAGACTGCCTAAGAGCCTCCGCAACCTGCTAACTGCTAAGCACTGCTAACCACTGCTAACCTGCTCACAGGATCAGGGCCACTGGGTTCGACGCGGTGTGGCTCTTCTTTGTGCCTCAACTCCAATTATGGGATTCGCGACACTCCGCCATCGTTGGATCAGGGAACAAGAGACGCTCATCAAGGGGGTTGCCAAGGCAGAATGCCACCAGCAGGTTCAAAAACAGATGCCTGCTGCATCCTTTTGAGTGTCGCGGGAGCACTGAGATGTTCACAATGCTGAGCTGGGAAATGCTGGGCGATTTCGATGAGCTTCAAGCGAAATTCTAGCTGCTCTCTCCCCGTCCCCTGAAATAGTTTCGGACTCTCTCTGGCTTCGAGCCTGTCCACGACTCGTACAGAGTTCACGAGGCATCAGTAGCTAAGAAGTACTGTCTCAATGATTCAGTTGCTTTGCACAGCCGGGTGGATGGTGGTGGGTGGGTGGGTGGTGAAGGAATTTCGAATCCTCAGCGCCGACAGGGCTGCAAGCACACACTGGTGAAAGAATCAACCAAGTGTGGACGAAGTATGCAACAGTCCCTCCACAAGTCTTGGACAACACCGCCTGAGCGGAGCCTTGCCACGGCAACCTTCTCACGCGTACATCCTGCTACAGATTTCAATTCGCTTTGCGATGCCTCGGGAGAGATCTTTTGATAGGCCGATGCTGTTCATCAGTCTACTGACCAAGACACGAAATCTCAGTCCCCATCATGACTTGTCAGCAGAGTGACTGTGTCTATAGGCCGAAGATCCCGCATGAAACAAACGAAATTAAACTCGCGTGTTGAAACTGCGCACTTGTGCATCCCAATTCCCCGGCGAAGCGCGAGGCCTCTCCATATACTTTCAGCCTCGACAGCGCCAGCTGGCTGTGCAGCCAGCGGTAAATGCGTACACGCACTCCGGCTCCGGCACTTGCGACCGGAGCTTCGGAGCCTCGGATTCGCTGTCGCTACCGCTAGGACTGCAACCACAAGACGGAGCCTCCTTTTAAAGGGCAGCGACGACCTTGTCTACAACGCTTTTCATGTCTCCGGCTATGAGTTTCTGCTGCGCCGTTCACGCATGAAGCCCAGCAACGAATGCGTTGATCGCTCTTGACGAGATGTGCCCACAGCCAAGCAGCTCGAGTACTGAAGCACGCCGTGCCTGACGTCGTACGACTGCACAGTTGAAAAGGGTGTGGACAGTTGAGAAGGGGCGAAACATCCTACAGGCCGCAGTGGCTAAAGATTCCTTGGAGCCGACGGAGGCCCAAGCTGGTCAGCGTTCTCAAGATGAGCAATGTTGTGCCCAATATATGTACTTGTACCAACTATGAATTAGATCTTCATTTGTCCTTATCCCTTTGTGTTGCTCCGACATTGTGCCTGAAGGAAGGTTGTGACTTCCTCTTCAATGATTTCTCGTCGTTCCTGCAGGGAAGAAAGGGAAGAACTGGTTTTCGGCATGTTTGCTCATGCCCAGTGACTTGTCCAAGGTATGCTGGATGATTGACCTATGGACGCCATTTGGAAGCTTCTGAGAGCCAAACAGTGCTGCAGTCTTGGCAGAGAATTAGAACCGACACATCGTATCGCCTAGCTTAAAGAGGCCTGTCGTGCAGCCAAGATCCGGTGTCTTCACATGCGTTACATCAAGGTTAGATTGCTTAGGTTCGTTGCACCCTCTTGGCACCTAGGATTCAGACTTGAGAACAGGCTTGTGAGGACAGTACTCCGATTCCGCGAATCGCTTGCACCATTTCGTTGCCGCATCAGCATGCCTGTGCGGCATGAAGAATAATTTCGGTATGTGGACACAGCTCCATGCAGTCGTAACCTCGCATGGCACTGTTTCTCAGCCGGCATGTGCTCCTGTAGTTGCAACTGGTGGCTGCTTGCGAACCATGGCAGAGGGACGGCCAGGGACGGCTCACACATTGCGAAATTATAGCTTTGCTGGCCAGCTGGCTCCGCAGGAACGGTGGTGTGTGGGTCTGGGAGGCAACACGCCGCCTGGATCCTCCAACTTGTTTATCCTCCTCAAGATGATGCATGTCTTGATGTTTCGGACAGTCGAGGGTCTTTGAACACTAGTATTCGAGCATGCGCCACAACCGCTGCTGCCGCATGAACAGTATGGAACTCTTCGCCCGACGTGCAGTCATGTCCAGCAAAGCTTTTGACTCTTGAGCATTCCTAGGTGGTGGTGCAGTGTTCTTGATATGGTGGCTGTCTGAGCTTTTCAGTGCGGAGGCATGAATGGCCCAATGCTGTTTCATGGGGGGCGTGGTGTAGTACAGTGAACGAAGAGAGTCTGATTCGATTGCGTTCGGTTCGTTTGATCCCTTTCCCGACATGCATCACTTGTTACAGAGTCCGGATCCTGGCCGCGGCTTCTGAAGGAAGTGCCTAACACAAAAATGTTCTTCGCCGAGCCTTGGAAGCCTCGAGCCCCAACCCTCCGTTGCCTCAAGGGCGCGTGCAGGTTTCACAGAGGAAACGCGAAATCCCGTGGCCTCTGCACCCATGGAGCCCTGCATTATGATAGGAAGAGGGATCCAACGTCTAGGAGATACTAAAAGAGAAAGTGCATGAGCGTGCCTGTGCGAGTTTGCAAGCCCATGTTCCGATTTGCAATTCCGACATTCGCCCGATGTTGCAGCGGACATGAAGCTTTCGGAGTTCCTGCTTCTTTTTCCATGGTGGATCGCAGGGAGAATGCTGAATGCATACCAGCTTCTGTTAATTCCGGGCGTGAGTCTTGAGACAGCCCTCATCATTACAACATAGAAGCCAGACTCTGGACCAGACCACGACTTGTTTATTGCAGAAACCTTGTACATTGAAGCCACCCCGAAAGGACCAGATTTCTATCCTTCGTGGCCTCCTTTCACTCGACTAGAATGCTTGAGCGCCTGTCAGCCGCGCTCGGGAGATGCACCTGCTGAGAGCCAAGCCGAACTCTCAGAGGCTTCTAGGACATCCGCCATACAATCTGCGGACGCTGGGCAATTGATTCCAGTTCAGTACAGCGTTCCCATCTGAGCCGCCGTAGTAGTTAGCTCCAGGAGCCATCTGGAACAAGAGCAACAGCACAAAGCAGCATACAGGTAAACACAACGCTAGCAGGCCACAATGGATGACCATCTTGAACAGAGCATACTCCTATGCAAGAAACATACGGCATGATACGGCACCCACAACGCAGTCAACATCATCACTACCCTAACTACTTGCTTCGCAATGTGATTGTGGATGATTTGGGCCTGGTGTCTGGTTGTGGAAGAGGTGAAATCATTGTAAAAACTGTCATGTTGGAGTGCCGAAGTTCCGAAATCTGGTTTGATTTATGAAGGATGATGCTCCTGCTGATGATGATGGTGATGAAAAGTATGAGCATGGTAATGAACGTTGACCAGGGACAGATGGTGATGAAGATGTTCAAGATCATGATGATGCTGGTCTAGCTTGTAGTGGTGGCAATGGTATGTAGGACGAGGATTAGTATAGCGATGAGAACTGTATCCTTGTCTGCAACAGTACTCTCGCTTGATGAGTCGCGCTCCACCACAGTGCCAAGTGTTTTGGGTTGTTCATGGTTGGACATCTGCTCCGGCTACAGTCCCGTGCTCCTCATTTTGGCGTTGGTTTCGTTTGCAACACCTAACGCTCAGCCCCTGCATGCTGGAGATGCGCTTGAAGGCTTTGGAGCTTGCAGGTGGCTTTACCGATTTGGAGGCGATGGAGCCTGAGGTTAGTGGCAGCACTCGTCCTTGTCGTAGAAGTCGTAGGTGTAGCAGTAGTGGCAGCAGCAGCAGCAGCAGTGGTAGGAATAGTAGTAGTAGTAGTAGTAGTAGTACAGGAGTAGTCGTCGTCGTCGTCGTCGTCGTGGTGGCGGTGGTGGTGGTGGTGGTGGTGGTAGTGGTAGTGGTCGCAGTAATAAAATACTAGGAATAATAATCGCAGTGATGGTAGTAGGACACGAGTATAAGCAGGAACATCATCGTCGTATGAGCTGGCTGCAGCTACTAACTTTGCTGTTGCTGTACCCCTCGCCCACATCGTAATGACGCCTGTTGTCGTGTGATTTCCCAAGCCTTCACGACTCGTGTTCGTCCTTTGTGCCTTTTTGCATCCGGTCATCCTGAATCACTCGAACCGCTTTGGGCGAGGCCTGTGGCCGGTGCCCCAAGGCCACGGGCTCAGTGCACGGCATGTGCTCATCCTCATAGCTGTCATAGCTCTTTTGTTACTGAATTGAATTGTCCGAGCTCAGTGGTGTCTACTGCCCACAAGCTGTTTAATGCCGAAGCAGTGCAGAAGTTCAGCACCCTAGCCTACGAGGAATGCATATAGGTTGCCGGTTTTCGGCGATTTTGGGCCAAAGAGTCCCGCTGATTTGCTCGCGGATTTCTTCTTGGTGCCCTTTCCATAGCACATGTCTTCGGGGCGGCACCCTAAAGCTTTCAATCCTGACGAGACCTTGCAAACCTGCCCATGCCACAATCGACAAACCTCACAGAGCCCAAGGCCACGAAGCGCCATGCGACCTGTCCTGCTCTGAGCGGTGTTGTGAAATAACTCGGTTTGTGGTTCGTTCTGGCGAGGTGAGGACTGTTCCTGCACACGAGGTCGAAAGACCTGTCGGAAACTGTAGGTATGGGCTCTTGGAAAATCTAGGTAGTGCATGTGTTCATCCACACCGGCCAGATGGTTAGTAAGAGTTTGCCTTGGAAAGACGCGGCGGCCTTTGCAGGCAGCAGACCCGGATGACATGGAGGACGGGCCGGAGATCCTTGCAGAAAATGACAGCGCTCTCCGCCCTGCGAAACGTAACATAGCATGGACACCTGACGGGTCCTGTGTGATCAATGTGGTCCAATATGTCGTGTTGTTAAATCATGCATGTATGTATGTACGTATGTATGCATGGATGTATGTATGTATGTATGTGTGCATGTGTGTATATCTGTATTAATCTACATACATACATACATACATACATACATACATACATACATACATGCATACGCCCATACATTTAGAATGTACATCGTTTCTTTATTTGCATATATACACATCCATGTAAACACCTATCCATACATGTCTAGACGTATTCATAGCAGACTTGGTAGCAGTAGTACGAGTATGTGTACGAGTAATTAATACTAGAAGCAGCCGTTGTCAGCGTCGTCATTGTCGTGGTCGGAGTAGTAACAGTGGCAAATAACAAAGGCTAAAGCAATAATCGGAACAGCAGCAGCAGCAGTCCGCAAATAGGCTGTTCGTTCTCCACATCGACTCCAGGTGTTCTACTGCATGTCATGAATTTGTGCGAAGTTGGTGTTTCCTGCCTGGCTTGGATTCACAGAGTTAAACGATCAGCAGAAAGTACCCTCTCAAAGCATCCGTGCTACAACATGGAAACTTATTTGTCCAACAATCGCTAATGTTATGATGGTTTGCACCTTCAGGGGACAGACGATAAGTCGCCAGCGCCCCGACAAACAGGATCGAGTGGGGAGCACTGTACAGCGAAAATCTTTGTTCCCAGACAACTTGGCCATGTGCATGAGATATGAAAGACGCTCATGAATGGGCTTGACATGGAGGACAACACCTCCAAGTCAGCAAATCCTCGTAGGCCGTAGTTCCTTGATTCAAGCCCCCAGCTCCCGGCTGAATCCTGGCAGGACCTCTTGCGGCATGTCCGTCGTGGCGTGGAGGCTCGCTCACAGACAGAGCCGCAGCGGAACTAGAAACAAGGAACTGGCTCGGTTCATGATCCTTGAAACGAGTTGTTGCGGTATAAAAGACTGGGGGAAGTTGTAAGCCAAGTCATGTTTAAGACTATTTCACCAGTATTCAACATATTATCCAAGTACGTAAGCTTGAGGTTGTATATTCAAAATGTTATGTTCAGTAAACGATGGTTCGGATGCTTCGTAGTTACCGTTATCTGCTGAATTCAATAAGCTATACTCAACATCGCAAAAGAATTAGTGCTGTGCGATTACCTCTTGAACAAGCCATATCTTGATGATTGTTTCAAGAAGACATGAATTGCTCTAACAGTTGTCTTTCAATATGTATCAATAGTGGTTAGTCTTGTACTAGGCCCAATGAATATTGGTGAGATATTAGGTGAGACCCAGCTTCATGCTATGTACTGAAGTTCGACTACATTTTAAATTGCTGTGAACACATAATGGCACGGTATGCAAACACCTGCAAAATAGATTGCAAATGCATTGTGCAGTGGTAGAATATCAACTAACATGTTCCCCAGATACTGAAGTTATGTAGCATATGGAATACGTAATGGTTGCGTGCTCAGCTTGTATATATATACACATACAGATGTATAACATGCGCACCTTTCGACGTGATAGTTAAGCATGTGAGCCAGTCGCTAAGTTGTTCTTCGGTATCAACTCGTTCTTTAATCGAAGAGAAGAGAAATAAATACATCGTCAATATTGTGGAGTGTCAGCTGGTAGCTACGTAGCAGAG